TAAGGCGGCGGTTCTCAACCTGTGGGTCGCGACCCCTTTGGCAGTTGAACGACCCTTTCACAGGGGTCGCCTAAGACCATCCTGCATATCAGATATTTACATGACGATGCATAACAGTAGCAACATGACAGTTATGAAGTAGCAACGAAAATAATTTTATGATTGGATCACAACATGAGGAACTGTATTTAAAGGGCCAGAAGGTTGAGAACCACTGACCTAGGAGATAAAGAAAAAAAATGTGCAAAGGTAACCACTTGAGTTGGGCTGATGGGGAATGAAGCCAAGTTCACCAAGCAGAAATACACAGAATGGAAGACCATGACATGCCCAGCCGGTGTGGCTCAGTGGTTGAACCAAGAGGTCACAGGTTGGATTCCCTGTCAGGACACATGCCGGGTTGTGGGCTCGATCCCCAATAGGGGGCATGAAGGAAACATGATTGATGTTTCTCTCCCATCAATGTTTCTATTTCTCTATCCCTTTCCCTTCCTTTCTCCATAAAATCAATAAATATATAAGAATATATATATACACACAAGACAGACCAAATGACCTGACTTTTTAAATATACTTTTAAAAAATTTACTGTTTTGAAGAATAATATTGTGTGTGAAGAATGAAGTGTAAGAGAGAGACCGATGACAGAGAAACTAGTAAGGAAATTATTGGTATTATTATATTAGAAGGAATCTACAGCAAAAAGCATTATTAGAGATTAAGAGAAATGCTACGTAGTGATAATAAGAAAAATTCCCATGAAGATGCACAATTCTAAACTTGTGGGTCCCTAATAAGTTGTTTGTTTTTCACTGAGCAGGCAGTACTTCGGCTTCTCATTCAGAAATTTCCACTTCAATAAACATGAAGTGAACTACTGGTTTCATAATCGAAGGCGAAGTTCAACTACGGCCATACACAACCTGCTTCGGACAAGGCAGCCTAAAAGTATTTCAAACAAAATGAACAGAAGTACAAGGAGAAACTGACACGCCTGTCTATGTAGTGGGGAATTTTAGTGTAACTTTTCTATTACTGATACATCAAATCTACTAAATAAGGATAGAGAAAATGTGAACAACATAATTAGCTTAATCTAATACATACACAGAGTCATGTACACATTTAATCCCTTCATTCGACAGTTTTCTCTTCAATAATTCATTTACAAAACTGACCACAAGACAGATCATACAGCAAGTCCCAGTAAAAAACTGGTACTATACAGACAATGTTCTTTGATTACAATGCAATTAAATTAGAAAGTCACATAAGAAATACAACTTATCATATTTGGAAATTCTAAAATAGTTCTAAGTAATTCATGACTCAAAGAAGAAATTTTTGTTTCTAAATTGCTGATTTGAATGGTGGTATGACCAGTTCCAAATGTATTCAGTCATGCCCACATTTGAAAGAGTAAAACTTACAACAATCATGTTTGCCATGAAACAGAGTTATACTTATTTTGTATTTAATATAATGAGAAGTGATTTTCATTTTTCTAAGCAACTGAAAAAGTCCAGTTCAATTGATGCTACAGATGAACTAGCACATGGCTTTCTCCTCCTCAAACAACTACAAAAGAAAACCAAATGCTGTTATTTCATTTAAGTAAATGGTGCTTAATGAGTGACACAAAGGTATGTTTAGAGACAATATTGCTTCACATTTGCAAGGCTCAGTAGTTGTTTACCATGGTCTGGGAAAAGCCTAGTAATTGCCTATAAAAGAACCATTTCTGCTAACTCTTGTCCTTCATAAGTAATATGTGAATCTTGATGCAATACTTCATTAGAATAATCCTTCCATCACAAAATTGCAGCTTATGTATAAGTTTAAGGATTTATTTGTAAATGATGGCAATAATTCCCTATAAAAGATCTTAATAACAGTAAAAAAATTAGTATTTAATGACTGACATATATGAAGCAATTTAAATAATTTATGAAATAATGAAAATGCTAAAAATCAAACTTTGTAGGATGCAGCTAAAGTGGTATTTAAAGGAAAATGTATAACTTTAATTGCATATAACAGAAAAGACTAAAAATGTTCAAATTCAAGACATTAGAAAAAGATAATAGAATGGAGAAAACAAGAGAAAGGAGAACAAGTCCTAGAGAAGATGCCCCGGACCAAAAGCTGGGTGCTTTTTTTAGTTGGTATTTTATTTTATTATTTTTCTTAGCAGCTGGTTATTTGAAAAACCAAAATGGCCAAAATGTTTATAAGACTGAGAGAAGGCATACATAAATATAAGAATAACAAATAGGTAACTACAGCCCTCGCTGGTTTGGCTCAGTGGACAGAGTGTAGGCCTGCAGACGGAAGGGTCCCAGGTTTGATTCCAGTCAAGTTTCTCTCATCATTGACGTTTCTATCTCTCTCTCCTCTCCCTTCCTCTCTGAAATCAATAAAAATATTAAACAACAAAAACACTGTGAGAATACCACTTCACACCCATTAGGATGGCTATAAAATTTTTTTAACAGAAAATAACTTGTGAGGGTGTGAAGAAATTAGAACCCTCATACATTGCTGGTGTGAGTGTAAAATGGTGTGGTTGCTGTGGAGAGAAGTCTGGAGGTTCCTCAGAAAGTTAAACATAGACTTACCATATGACCCAGCAATTCCACTGCTAGTTATATATCCAAAAGAAGGAAAAACAAACTACATGTTGTATAATTCCATTATATACAGGGTGGGACAAAGTAGGTTTACAGTTGTGAGTACCTGAAACACAGTTTATTCTTATATTATTATTTATTAATTATTGTATTGTTTTCCATATGAACAACTGTAAACCTACTTTTGTCCCACCCTATATAATGTCCAGAATATGGAAATTCACCAAAAAAGGCAGATTAAGTGGTTGCCAAGGGCTATGGGGAAATGGAGTGACTTCCAATGGGTAGAAGGTTTCTTTTGGGGGTAATGAAATGTTCTAGGATTAGACAGTGATGATAGTTTTGTGAATACACTAAAAACCATTGGATCATATATACTGTAAAAGGGTGACTTTTTTGGTATATCTCAATTAAAAAGAAAACAGGCAGTGGGATCAGACAACGCTGGGCACTAATTTGTATGTCCTTCGGGTATTTGTTTTCATCTATGCCACAGGTTCCTATTCTGTAAAATGAGAACGGTAGGCTCCACGAACCAAAAGTAGGTTCTACTGTGCAGAGTTGTTGTGAGAAATGCCTGCAATAATAATACAAAATGTTCAACATGGTATCTATTAAAAATGTAGATTATCATTATGATTGTGTTAGACAGTAAGGAATTGAAGAATAGGAAAGAGAGAAGGAACAGATGAAAGAACATACAAAATTTTGAACAAGTTGAGTGAGGGAACATGTCTTACTCAATATCTCTCTAAAACCCAGAGTGGTATCTTTACAGAGTAGATAGAAAATATCAACTACTTCTTATATTGAAACCACTCATTTTAATATGTTGCATATTTTCATATCAAAGAAAAAATGCAAAAAGACAGAAAAGTACAGATACATTTTACAACACAGATGAACCTTGAAAACATTATGCTAAGTGAAAGCAGCCAGTCCCAAAAGATATGTTGTATAATTTCATTCACATGAAATGTCCAGATAGGCAAATCCACTGAAACAGAAAGTAGATTAGTGGTTGCCAAGGGCTGTGGAGGGAGAGGAGTTGGGGAGTGACTGCGAATGGGTGCAAGGTTTCTTGCTGGGGTAATGAAAATGTTCTAAAATTAATTGTGGTGATGGTTGTACAGCTCTGTGAATATACTAAAAATCACTGAATTATACACTTTAAATGAAAAAATAATGTGGTAGGTGAATTATATCTCAGTAAAGCTATTAAAAATAGTAGAAAAATAACTTGGACATGTAATTCACCAAATTAATAGATTGAGCAGAAGAAACATAGTAACACCAATAGATGAAAAGGCATTCAATAAAATTCCACAACCATTTGTAACAATAACTTCAGAAAATCAGAAATTAAAAGAATCTGCATAATTTAATTAATAGAATTTTCAAAAAATGTAAGAGTAAACATCTTATTTAAATTGTGAAAGATTAGCCCTGGCTGGTGTGGCTCAGTTGGTTGTGGCTCAGTTGGTTGTAGCATTGCTCTGTACACTGAAAGGTCTCAGGATTGATTCCTGGTCAGGGTACATACCCAGGTTGTGGGTTCGATCCCTGGTGGGGGCGCATGCAGGAGGCAACTGATTGATGTTTCCTTCTCACATCAATGTTTCTCTCTCTAAAATCAATAAAAGCATACCCTCAGGTAAGGCTTTAAAAAAATTGTGAAACATTAAAAAGATTCCCCTTAAAGTCAGGAGCAAGACAAGAATGTCATTTAATGGATATTTAGCATTTTGCCCTCTTTCCTTAGTAACAAAAATCCCAATTTTGTTCAGGGCAGCAAATGCTCAGTTAAAAAAACACATTTCCCAGATTCCTTTGCAGCTAGTGTATGCCATAATCCTGGCACCAATGATAAATTTTAAAATTCTACTGAGAATTTCTGGGAAAGAAATATGTACCTCTCCTTTCTCCTTGCACTTCCTTCAATGATATGCCTGGAGCTATGGGGGTTATCTGTAAGTACAAAAGCCAAATGTTCAAGGATGGTCAAACAGAGATACAGAATGATGACAGCGTGGAGCTGGGCTTCATGTTACATGAGAAAAGTACACCCCTATCATTTGGGCATTTTGTTACACTCAGCTAAGCACAACCCTAACCAGTATTAGCTTGCTGTTCTCTTCTTCAACATGTTACTGAAGGTCCCAATGTGTATGGTGAAATGAGAAAAAGAAACAAAAGGATAAGGATTTGAGAAGAAGAAACAGCTTACTCTCTAATGGTACAGTGAAAAAGATTATATCAAATGTGACAAAATGTTAACAACTGGTGAATCAACATAGAAGTATTCAGGCTTGAAATATTTCAAAATAAGAAATGTAGGCAAAAACACACCAATAAGCAAAAAAGAAAAATAAACTTTTTGTATCACCATAAACGAAGGGAAAAGATAAGCGAAAGCCTAGAAGAATTTAATAGTAAAGGAGTAGAAAAAGATTAGATTCCAGAAGACATGAAGAACTTTTACAAATTCTACAAGTTAACAAGCCAAAGGCCAGCAAACCATTAGTAAACAGGCAGGGGATATGGACAGACGCTCATGGAAAATGAAACCCACTCTGTCCAATAAACAGATAAAAAGGTATCAAATGTCCTAATACTGAAAATGCAAACTAAAACAACAATAAGATACCACTTCGCACCCATTGGGTTGGTGAACTTCTTTGAGCCCAGAGGTGTTGACATTGTTCCTGTGGCAGGACAGGAACTCTCAACCAGCCATGGGAGCATGCACAGGCACGGGCACTGTGACGTACACTCTGGCATCCTCCAGCTAGAGATGCACACTACACTCAGCAATGCCCCTCCCACTTATCTTCCCTGGAGTAGCAGCAGGTCCATGTGATCAACACCATTTTCGCAGTAACAGTAAGACATTATTTGCCTTTTTCATTCTCATTGTCTCATGAATGTTTCAGTGACGTTTTCCAGGGTCTCATGACATACATCACAGCAGACTGACTGCAGAGGCAAATGAGAAGCCAGCTATCTTCTATTAATTCAGACACTAAAATATTTTCAAAAATGTAACAGCAATACCATTCTTTTCATTATTTTTGTTTGTTTTGGAAAATATAGCTATTTTTCACAAATATGTTATTATAATATGTAGTGGGTTTATATTATAATTTTTTAATGAGTTAATAAATATTTAAAACATTTCTCAGCTTTAATTTCCAACTTAATAAGTATAAATAGTTGTAACTCACATAAAAGCCCGGTAGGGTTCTCAATTTTATTTTACTTAAGAGTGTAGCCGAAACCGGTTTGGCTCAGTGGATAGAGCGTCGGCCTGCGGACTGAAAGGTCCCGGGTTCGATTCCGGTCAAGGGCATGTACCTGGGTTGCGGGCACATCCCCAGTGGATTAAAAAAAAAAAAAAGAGTGTAAAGAAGTCTTTAGACCAAAATGTTTGAGAACCACTCCCCTGGAGAAACTATAAAAGATGCATGCCAGGAGACACAGACAAGACTCTTCATTGCAACTTGTAATAGCAAAAAACTGCAATCATTAGAAGGAAAAAAGGATAAATTATATATTTTTACAGTAACTATATAGCAATTTAAATAAATGAACTAGGGCCTCCTGTACCAACATGGTCAAATCTCACAAATGTTAAATTTAAAAAATACCTGCTGAAAGATACATACAATATGATACCATGTAAAGCATACAAACTACTATATATTACTTGGTGATTCATACAAACATAGCAAAAGTAAAAAATAAAAACATATGGAAATAATACTGTCAACAATAATAAAAATAAAGAAAAAAACACAGGTATGGGCAAAAGTCACTATACAAAGTAACCTCTAGGGAGGAGGGGAGAGAAATGAAACTCAGGGAGGAAGGAGAGGCAGGAACCTTCAATTATATGTGGAATGTTTACCCCTTAAGTAGACAATATAAATTACATAGGTATTCATTATATTATTCTCCATAATTTTTTGTATGACTGAAATACATAATAAGTAAAAGTTAAGAATGCTGAATGAACCCAAATGGGTATTAGAAAGGGAGATACTATATAGGACCAGATGAAGAATTGCAAATTAAGGGTGAGTTAGGCTTGATTTAGGTTTTAAGTCTAAAAAACTGGAAGAATATCAATGCATTAGCTCAAGTTTAGGAAGTGAGGATGAAGAAAAAGGAAAGGTGTTGGGATTTACACGTATTAGCTTGAGACGTATTAGCAGAGATGACAACAAGCTTAGAAATTTGTATATTCAGGGAAGGTATTTGGGAAGTCAAGGCCAGAGATATAGATTTGGGACTCAGTGAATAAAGATGAAGATTTTGAGAATGGATGAGATCACCGAAAAAAAAGGTGATAAAGGAAGATGTCGGTGTGGACAGGCTTATCCAGAGATCAGAGAGCTTGGGAAACACTGACGCTGAGGGCAGAGGTGGAGAAGATAAAAGAGAGGCCGGTGGAAGAGCCTCAGAAAGGTAAAAGAACACTCCAAAAGAGATGGTAGACAGAGGTTCAAAGAAAATAATAAGACTGTCACTGGGTTGTATTTGTGCAGTTTCAGCTCAGACTGAGAACTTCCTGAAAGCTTGCCAGTTCCAGGAAGTCAATATTGATGAATCCCACACCTTTCTGATTACTCCTCTTGATCCATCCATCCCAACAAATATTGATTATCTTCTATGTGGGCACTAAGGATAAGATAATCACTGTCTTTGTCTTCATGGTACTTAGATCAGAGTAGCAGATGGAGACTTTAATCAACTACTTGCACTGATGAATGTAAAATCACAACTATAATGAATGCTGTCAATGAGAGGTACATGGACCTTTGAGATTGCCTAATAGGGAATTGTCTACTTCCCCCTCCTTTCAGCGGCAAATATCAGACTGTAAGCACCATAGGGCATACTTCTTACTAGTGTATGCTTATACTGTCCATTTTGCTTTTATTGATTTTTTTTTTTTTTTAGAGAGGGAAGATGGAAGAGAGAGAGAGAGAGAAACATTGATGTGAGAAAAACACATCGATTGGTTGACTCCTATATGAGGCCCCTCTGGAGATCAACCTTGCAATCTAGATATGTGTCCTGACTGGGAATCGAACTTGGGACTTTCTGAAGCATGGGACGATGCTCCAACCAACTGAGCCACTCTGGCCAGGGCCGTCCATTTTCTTTTCTTTTTAAAAAAATATATTTTTATTGATATCAGAGAAGAAGGGAGAGGGGGAGAGAGAGATAGAAACACCAATGATGAGAGTGAATCATTGATCGGCTGCCTCCTGCATGCCCCCCACTGGGGATCAAGACCACAAACCAGGCATGGGGCCTTGACCCAAATCTAACCCGGGACCCTTCAGTTCACAGGCTGATGCTTCATCCACTTAGCCAAACTGTCTAGGGTTGTCCATTTTCTTTTGATATCTTCTCCAACTTCCCAGCATAATGCTTCAGCTTAATAGGTATTCAGTATACGTTTACTTATATACTATATATCCCTAACTGCATGCTTCAGATCTTATAATACATATGACCTGCTGTATGAAAAAGCTATGAAAATATTTTTAAGATCCTGCTATGGGTGTTAAGGAGCCCAAAAGTAAAGTGGAAGCCTTGAACATGTTAGTTTGCTGTCCTCGGTTTGCATCCCAAGCAATTACCTTGAGAATGCTTAGGATTATTCTCAAAGGGGAACCAGTAAAAACATGAAAGGATTGGCCCACGACAATCTCACCTCTAGAAAGACAACTCAAAAAAGTGTCAACAGTAAGCATGCTGTCATGTTATTTTTGCAAATAAAAAGCAAAACATTCATCATAAGGCAATTGGCCATGACCAGAAAATGACAGTTCAGTGGTAATCAAGAAGCAGCCCACAATTACTTACATCACGAAACTGAACCTTTCCGAGTTCTCCTAATTCGCTGACACAACAGTAAGCAGCTTCTGACTGTAGGAAAAGCTGGGCCAGCGTCATCTCCTCACTCCGGAAAAGCTCCCCCATGGCGGCAGAGAGGACATCCACTGAGTCCCGGGATTTCTCTCCAACCTGAGGCAAAAAGGGAAAACTGCATGACCTTGGAAATTACTAAGAGGGCTAAGAGCAAACAGCACTCAGGAAGGCTCTTCCGTTTTGCATTCCATGTCTTTCACCTCCTGCTGACAGGTCTTAACAACTGTTTTGACATCCTCCTTAGAAAGATGGAAAGGAGAAATTGCAAAGGCTGCCACTGAATCCTCTCCCACAGAGTGCCCGATGAAAAGCCTCTTCCTTTGCAGTCAACATCAGGATCGGATGACAATATTTTGGGACATCTCAATACATAAGAATGTGTCCATATTAAAAATAGGAGCTGGGGATCCCAGACAGCCTTTTAATACCCTGGACACAACATTCTGAGGCAGTGACATCCACCCTGCTCTATCTTGGTTTCCACTCGTGTCAGGAAACAGAAGAGACCTCACCATTTTCTAACCGGTACTGCCCATTTCTTCTTCTTTTATTTATTCTCATCCGGGGAATATGTTTTTCATTGATTTTAGAGAGAGGAAGGGAGACGGAGAGAAAAACATTGATCAGTTGCCTCCCAGACGCACTTACCCTGACGGGAGATCAAACCCTAAACCTATGTAAGTGTTCTGATCAGGAATCAAACCACCATTTGGTGTACAGATGGTGTTTCAACCAACTGAGCCATCTGGCTAGGGCTACTGCCCATTTCTAAGAGCCAAAGTGCCAGCCTTACCCTCAAGTTACGACTACCTTAAAGGGTTTAACCTTCCAAATTCCTCAGAAAGCACCATCTTCTCACTACAGAATCTAACTACATAATCATTATCTTAAAAAAAAAAAAGGAACCATCTTGCTTATTAAGCTCAATATCAAGTCAAGCATGGCAGGAATCCATTGATAATGACAAAGCAGTTTTATCAAGCCACAGGGAATAAGCTTTCCACCTCGGAAGCCTTCTGTTTCTTATCCCCACCTTCAAGACCAACTACATTGTTCCATCTGTTAAAGCTTCTCCTGCAGGCATCCATAAAGGTTTGGTTTTAGGGTTGTCTTATCACTGCCGGGTAACAACGACCAGTGGCGCTATCAGTGGTCCTGAAACTGCAATTATTTATTCTCAATCTGCTATTGTGAGGCACAGACGGTGCAGTATCTAAGCTCGAAAAAACATACGGTATTTTTGGTATCATGAGAGCATCCATAATGATAGGTGAAACTGGCATGGAAGGAAGAGTTGCTCTCGGGGAAGGCTGGGAGACATCTTGAAAAATTTGAATGACAAGCCTTTGTGCCTTTGATGTTCAAAGCAGCAGAACAACACACTCGGATACAAGCAAGGATTTCTCAAGAGATGATGTAGCTTGACTTTATACCACCTCCCCTCCGCCCCCCAACAACACCTCGCTCCTAATTATGGGACAGAGTCCACAATCTCTAAACACATAATATTATGCCGGATCAGCATAGTTCAGGGGCTGCCAATCATGACAGCCTCCAATGAGTTGCCTCCCTCCTGTTTGTTAACGATTACAAATCTCCCTAAATGCATCTCTCCGACGAACCAAACAGAAAACCAAAATTGGCCAAAGCGATTAGGGGATGCGGGGGAGTAGTGGTGGTGCTGGTGGTGGTGGTGGTTGTCGTGGTGTGTGTCACAAAACAAATTATAAAGAAATAGGAATTCTGCTGCACAAGGTTAATCCAAACAAGGCGTCCCCGCGCACTGCCGCTGTCATCCGGTCCTCGCTTCCTAACGAGGTATTTGGATTCACCTGCTTCGTTCCTGTCCACCCAGCGAGCATCGGCACACCTACCTCCCGGAGGAGGGACTAGAAGGGAGAAATTCTCCCATTGGGACCCCATTCCCCAATTTTTCGGCCATTCCAATAACCTTCAGTTCCTCCGCCGACCCCTTAAGTGGCGGCAGGGATCAGGGCCTCCAAAGGGGAGTGAACCTCCGGTTCTTCTGCCCACAGAAGGGGCGCCCGAAGAGAGGTGAACCCCATTTCCTTTCAGAGACCTCGGATCCCTGCTACTTCCTTGGACAAGTGAAGCGGATGTTAGGGTTCCCGGTGCCCCTCGGAGGCCACTCCCTGCCGCGCCGTCCCCGCTCACCTCCAGCCGCCGGCGGGGCCACTACCAAAGGCGTCGCC